CACAAGGCGCCCCCCGGGGCACCCCCCCGTGGGGGAGAAATCCCCCCCCCCCCCCCACACATACACATACAGACACTGCAGCCGCCAGGGCAGGGCCCGCTCCACGTTGGTGGGCGGGGAGAGTTTTGTTCAATCAGCTCTGTTCTCTTTCACTCCTGACGTCATTACAGATGAGTCCGAGTGCCTCATTCGAGTTCTGACTCCCCACAGGGCCTGGCACTGCTCCCGTTTCTCTTGCAAAAAAAATAAAAAAAATACCGGGTGGAACAGTTGACCCCCTGTTGTTACCTCTGCGGGGGTCCCTGGCACTGCCATCCGGGTCTTCCCAAAGTCTGGCTCGAAGTCGTGGGTGCAGGGTTTGGACGGTGGAGGAGCCCTTAGCCTGAGCCGACCCCACGACCGCACTGAGCCTTGCCCAGGCGTGACTGGATTTGAACCTCTCTGCTTCCCTGATAGATCGCAGAGCAGCTTCTGTATGAACACTGGAAACAGAACAACCCAGAACTTCGAGAGGTGAAGCCCAGAACCTTCCATCGAGTTGCCTTGTGGATGAAGTCACGTCTTGACTGTTTTTAATCATGCGTCTGTGCTGGCTGCAAAGCCCCGCGCAGGACCTGGGGCAGCCTGGCCTCGGCGGTGCCCCGGCTGTGCCCTCTGCCGCTGGCTCCCCGTGCAGTGACACCGTCTGCCTCCTGCACAGGCCTGGGCAGATGGGCAGGGGGCGGGCCCCCAACCCACTTGGAGGCCGGGGAGGGGTACTTTCCTGTCTGTGTGCTGACAGCCTTCCCGCTCAGCCCCGGGGCGCTGGATCTCCCAGGCGGGTGTGCTCGCACCTGCTCTGTGCGTTTCCTAATCGGGCTGCTGTGTTTCGGGGCCACTCTTGCTCCCCCCGCTGGTCAGCTGGGCCGCCGTGGGTCCTCACACGGCGGCCGGTGGCACAGGAGGCAGCACGCGGTCCCCGCGGCGAGCGTCAGGGCAGCTGGGGAGGGAGTCCGGAGTCTGCCCTTTGTCACCCTAGGTCGAGCTGGACCTTCACAGGAAGCATGTGGTAGACTCGTGGGAGGCGCAGAGAGAAGAAAAAAAGCAGGTACGGTCCCTGCCTCTGGGGGACGCCCCTGGGACGGTGTGAGTCTGGCCGTGCGGAGGGCGCCAGTCGGGCACACCTGGCACGTGCAGCACTGCCCATCCCCCGGGGCAGAGTGAGGCCGGGTGGGGGGCCGGGGAGTGGGAGGGGCACGGGCGGCCTGCAGCGAACCTTTGCTGTCAGCGGTGTCTCGATGAAACTCGTCTCCTGAACGCTGGTGCTGGCCCACAGCGGCGCCTCCAGGACGAGCGCCCCCTTCCACGGCCCCACTGCTTTGCCTCTGGCTCCATTCCTGAAAGTGCGTGGGAGCCTGTGCCAGGGGGAGGGGCCTCGACGTGGCCCAGCTCCTCTGCTGTGTCAGGCCCCGTGCCACGGCCTCCCCGGCCTTGCTGCGGTTTCCACCGAGAACTGCGCCCAGGGGCGGGCACGTGGCCGGCTGCGGGTCACATGTGTTGACCTCCGGGTTCCTTCTGCTCCTTGTAGCAAGAGGCCACCGCGGAGCAGGAGAGCAGACGGCAGGAAAACGAGTACGAGGTGGCGCGGAGGGAGGCGCTGGAGCGGCTGAGAGCGGAGCAGGAGAGGCGGCAGCGGGAGGACAGGCTGCAGGCCGAGGCGCTGCTGCAGCAGATGGAGGAGCTGAGGCTGCGGGAGGCGGAGGTGAGTGCGAGCGCCGGCCCCTGGGCTGCGGGAGGCGGAGGTGGAGGCGAGCGCCGGCCCCTGGGCTGCGGGAGACGGAGGCGAGCACGGGCCCCTGGGCTGCGGGAGGTGGAGGCGAGCACGGGCCCCTGGGCTGCGGGAGGCGGAGGTGAGTGCGAGCGCCGGCCCCTGGGCTGCGGGAGGCGGAGGCGAGCACGGGCCCCTGGGCTGCGGGAGGTGGAGGCGAGCACGGGCCCCTGGGCTGCGGGAGGTGGAGGCGAGCGCCGGCCCCTGGGCTGCGGGAGGTGGAGGCGAGCACGGGCCCCTGGGCTGCGGGAGGTGGAGGTGAGCGCCGGCCCCTGGGCTGCGGGAGGTGGAGGTGAGCGCCGGCCCCTGGGCTGCGGGAGACGGAGGTGAGCGCCGGCCCCTGGGCTGCGGGAGGTGGAGGCGAGCGCCGGCCCCTGGGCTGCGGGAGGCGGAGGCGAGCACGGGCCCTGCGGGAGACGGAGGCGAGCACCGGCCCCTGGGCTGCGGGAGGCGGAGGTGAGTGCGAGCGCCGGCCCCTGGGCTGTGGGAGGTGGAGGCGAGTGCCGGCCCCTGGGCTGCGGGAGGTTGAGGTGAGCGCCGGCCCCTGGCCTCTAGCTGCTGCGGGGGCCTGGGGTCTACTCCCACCTCTGTTCTCTTTCCGTCCAGCTTCCTGCCAGCGCACACCCTGGCTAAAGTAACAATGGCTCGAGTACTCGGGTCCTTGCCTCCCATGAGGGAGAGCCAGATGGCGCTCCTGGCTTCTGGATTTGGCCTGAGCTGCCGTAGGCATTTGGGAAGAGAATCAGTGGATGGAAGCTATGTCTGCTCCTCCCCCCTTCTCTGCCTGCCAAGTAAAGAAAAAGAAATAAGCAGACTTAAACAATAATTAAAAAGCCCTCGACGCGGGCGCGTGGCCCAGGGGTTGGGCCGCCTCGCCCATCCCCGCTCTGGCTCCTGCCTCCGGCTTGCTGCCGACGCGGACACCGTGGCAGCAGGGGTGGCTCCAGTCCGTTCCTCCCCACCGCCCATGTGGGAGACCCCGCCCGACCCTGGCTGTTGGGGGCCTCTGGGGAGTGAACCGCTGGAAGGGCGCGCTTTCTCTCTCTGCCTCTCCAATGGCAAACAAAACAGAGCCGCCTTCTGAGAAGTGAGGACAGAGGAAGGGCAGTGCCGCAACACGGCCAGGCGCTCGCTCGTCCGGCCTGCCTTCTGTCCGCGTGTGGGAGCGTGGCTCTCCCAGGGCCTCACACAGACAGGACTCCGCGGCGTGGTCTGCACACGGCTTTCCCCAGGCGGCGGGCGTGGGCTCTGCGGGCTCGTGGTCCCGGAGGCTGCCCCTTGAGGGCGCTGTGCTGTTGGCCTGTGAGGGCTGGGTCTTCCCTTGGAGCCGAGCGAGGCCCCTGTGCCCCTTTCTCTCTCCTTCCCTCCCCAGGCCTGGGGGACTCAGGACTTAGCGTCCACTGGTTATCGTAGGTGCTAGCGGTCGAGCCGGAACAAGCCCTCTCTCCTGGCCTGGCCGGGCAGGGGAGACGCGTGAGGTCGGGGCTCTTCCTCGTCTGCAGCCCTGGGAAGTGCTCTTGCTGAGATGGGACGAGGGAGGGAGTTAAGCTGGGCTGTGGGGCTCCGGGCCCCGGAGGCGGGCGGGGGTCCTGAGCACCACGCAGCCCAGCCACCCTCGCTGCGTCAGGTGTGCCGGAAGCAGAGGGGTGCAGGCCGGGCCCGCTCACTGTCTCCGCAGGCGAGCGAGCTGAAGAAGGAGCAGGAGGACCTGCTGAGGCAGCGCTGGCAGCTGGAGCAGCTGGAGGAGGAGCGGGCGCGCGTGGCGGCCGTGCGCCAGAAGGCCGAGCTGGGGTGGGTGCGGGCGGCCGGCTCACACGGGAGCCGTGAGACACGGCGGCAGCGAGCCGTGTCCAGCCTCCGTGTAATTCTTCATGTGACACGGACGGCGACCCGTACTTTGCCCTCTCGTAGGCGCTTTCTGCGGCATCAGTACAACGCCCAGCTCAGCAGGCGCACCCAGCAGATCCAAGAGGAACTGGTGAGTGAAGAGCCGGGGTGTTTCTCACCCTCCCCGAGGCGTGTGCCACGCTCAGCGAGAGGGCGCACTCGGGCGGGGCGGGGAGGCGCTCAGCGGGGCAGAGCCTAAGCTTGCGGTGGACGAGGTCTGGAGACGTCGAGTACTGCGCAGGGGCCGTGGGCTCCGCAGAAGCCCAGACAGCAGATCTGAAGTGTTGTTGCCACGAAAAATCCTGTTGAGAGGACGGGTCTGTTAACTAGCTTCATTTCACAGTGCATATAAAAACACAAAATTATATGTCAATACAGCTGTTATGTAAACAAAATGACAAGCCTGTGGCTCAGGGGTTAAGACACCACTTGGATACTTTGGATACCCAAATCAGAGTGGGCGCAGGGGCCCAAGCACTTGGGCCATCCTCCGCTGCTTTCCCAGGCGCATTAGCAGGGAGCTGGATTGGAAGTGGAGCAGCCAGGACTTGAACCGGTGCCCGTGTGGATGCCGGTGCCACAGGTGGCAGCTTTTGCCTGCTGTGCCAGAACCCCGAGCCCGAACATGCTGTATTATCAATAGCTGCTTAGTCCTCTCGTTAGGTGTTTTGACGAAGCCACCTCATTGATAAGCAAGCACTTTGTGCATTTGTGTCACTGTAGTCCATGCTCTGAGACGTGGACCTGTGCCGTGAGATACGGCTGAGGGCCTGTGGTGCCGGAGGGGTCTCTCTTCAGTCACGGGAAGGCTCTGAGCCTGGGCCACGGGCGCGTAACCCTCCCTGGCTGTCTGGAAGCAGTTCCGTGCCTTCCCATCCCTGCTCCGAGACGCTGTGCAGGAACACGGGGCACAGGGAGGAGGGGAGGGGCCCCGTGCAGGCCGCCCGCTGAGCTGCCCCTGCCTCCCCCAGGAGGCCGACAAGCGGATCCTGCAGGCGCTGCTGGAGGAGGAGGAGGAGGACGAGCGCGCCCGCCTGGCCAGGCGCCAGCAGGCCGTGGCCGACGCGGCTTGGATGCAGCAGGCCATCGAGGAGCAGCTGCAGCTGGAGAGGGCGCGGGAGGCAGAGCTGCAGCTGCTGCTGAGGTGGGCTCTCAGGCCGCCGTGGCCTCCAGGCCCCCTGACCGGGGCGCGCGCGGGCCTGGCTGTGGGAGCGTGTCCTTCAGTCACTTCAGGTGGAAGTCACGACGGCTCAGGACACTGCTCAGCTGCTGTAAAATCTTGGCGACCTGCAGGGAAACTGCTGTGTCCTGGAGAAGCTGCGTGCTTCTTGGGCCTGTGCAAGTGGGTCCTGGCCCTCGACACCTAACCCTTAGACTGAAATGGTCACGTGATGGGTGACAGCCACTGACACTCACGGAGGTCACTGGCCATGACCCCAGTGCACGGCCACAGGGCTCAGGCCCCGGCAGTGCCTTCCTCCCGCCCAGGCCTGGTGGTCTCCATCACTCCAGGGGCTGCTGTAGAAGCTGCCTGCAGTGCTTTTAGGAGATGAGGTATTGCCTCAGATTCCGAGGGCAGTCCTTCCGGGAAGGTTTGCAGAGCTTGGGGGACGAGCTGACGGGAAGGTTGGTCCTCCGTAGGCTGTGTGCTGGGCCCTGTGTGCTCTCTGGCTCACTGCTGGCCAGCAGCAGCGGTGCAGAGCCTCTGCCACCTGTTTTGTGTTTGCCCAGGGAGGAGGCCAAGGAGATGTGGGAAAAGAGAGAGGCCGAGTGGGCCCGAGAGCGGAGTGCACGCGACAGGCTCATGAGCGAGGTAAGCCAGCGTCTCCTCCAGGCCCGGGGCCCCAGGCAGGTGTCTGGAGTCCACCGTGGAGCACTGATCCCACCGGCGCTGCTGGGGACAGTCTCTTCCAGTTATCTTACGTGGGCTTGGAAACTCTTGTTGAAAGAACTTGCAGGCCAGCACCGCGGCTCACTAGGCTAATCCTCCGCCTTGCGGCGCCGGCACCCCGGGTTCTTGTCCTGGTCGGGGCACCGGATTCTGTCCCGGTTGCCCCTCTTCCAGGCCAGCTCTCTGCTGTGGCCCGGGAGTGCAGTGGAGGATGGCCCAAGTACTTGGGCCCTGCACCCGCATGGAAGACCAGGAGAAGCACCTGGCTCCTGCCATCGGATCAGCGCGGTGCACTGGCCGCAGCAGCCGTGGGAGGGTGAACCAACGGCAAAGGAAGACCTTTCTCTCTGTCTCTCTCACTGTCCACTCTGCCTGTCAAAAAAAAAAAAAAAGAACGAACTTGCAGAAAGTAAAACTGACAGCACCCGAGCCTTGTCTTCGGCATAGCCACTGGCATCTTTCTTTCAACTCCTGCTTCCGTGTGTGCCGGTGCCTATTATACTGTGCCGTTCGAGGCGAGCGTTTCCACGTACTGCTCTGTGTGTAAATGCCGTGTCACGGCCAGATTGTTACCACGCGTCCTCTTGAGGGCCTCCCAGCGTGCCTTTCCATCGCTGTCTGGTGCGTTCTAGTTTGTTCTCATTCTGAGCCACTGTAAGCAATGCTGCCCGGAGTGTTTTGGGCTTTTCCACATTGAGATTTCTCCCTCGGCACGGGGAACCAGCCATGGTCTGGAGAGCACACGTGGAAGACGCCCAGTGGCCGGGTGGTCTGTGTCACCTGTGTGGCTTAGAGCAGGGAGTCCCGTGTGCCTGGCGGTGGGAACTGGGGTCTCCGTTGGTGATTTCCCACTCTTGTGAATACCAGGTGTCCCCAGTGGCCGCTGATTCTCCTCGCTCCAGCCTGGGTCCTGGTCGTGGCTGCTTTGCAGGTTCCCTCCCGAGAGCGTGACCGTAGGGTGTGTTGGCGGCTTCCCAGGCGCCTCTCTGATTCCCAAGGCCGTCCGAGGCTGGTGCAAGACATCACGCTGCTCTGGGGCCTTGAGTGGGGGATGTCACCCCATGATCCGAGGCCCCCCCACCCCCCTGTGGCCATCTGCAGGGCTTGTGGGCTTCGCCACTGCTAGGGAACGAGTCTCACTCTGCCCGAGTCTGAGTGGGGCCTGGCCGCCCTGTCGGGCTTTAGACCCGAGGCTGAGGGTTAGGTCGCCTGCGGAGCTGCCTGGCCAAGGCTTGTTCTCAAGTCTGCTGCTTCCTTCCTGCCGAGGCCAGGTCCTGGCGGGAAGACAACAGCAAATACAAGAAAAGATTGAACGAAACCGACGGGCGCAAGAGGAATCCTTAAAGCACAGGGAGCAGCTCATTCGCAGTCTGGAGGAGGCGAGGGAGTCGGCTCGCCGGGAGCAGGGGCAGAGTGAAGAACAGAAGTCGGCCAGGAAGCAGGAGCTGGAAGCCCAGGTGGGCTGAGCCAGGGCCCTGGGCGGGAGGCAGCCTCTGCAGGGGACGCGTCCTTGCCTCGCTGCAGGGCAGGCCTGAGGGCCGGTGCACTTTCCGCACAGCTCGCTCGTGTTGGAGAGTGCAGTGCGCTGTGGCCCTGGGTACTGCAGCTGAAGCCCTGGCGCACCCCACACAGGGTCCTTTGCCTCTGGTGGGCACGGCTGGCCTGTCTGTCCCCTCCGTCCTGTCCGCACCTGCAGACAGGTGGCTCCTTGGGCCACAGTTCTCCATTTATTCAATTCCACAACCTGAGGTGGAACACGGAATATTCTGCCCAACACACAGCCGTGTGTGGAGCTTTGTATAAGACCCGGACGGCTGCTGGCCAAGCCTTTTCCAGTCCCCAGGGGCCCCTCCCATTTCCTGGCACCTGCTGCCCCTGCTCCTTAGAGCTCTGGTCCTCCAGCCCAGCCGGGCCCGCAGCCTCCCCTGCTGAGCAGGCGCAGGGCTGTGCCCCGGGGCCTTGCCTTGGGGTGACTTTGCTCTTGGGCCTAGGTGGCAGAGCGCCAGCTGCAGGCACGGGAGGCTGACCAGCAGGAGGAGGAGGAGCAAGAGGAGGCCAGGCAGGCAGAGCAGCTGTCGGACGCCTTGCTGCGGCAAGAGGCGAAGATGATGGCCGAGCGTGGCTACCGGCCCAAGGTAGGAGCGCGCCTCCCCGGCGTGTCCACAGCCCCGCTGAGCTGAGCTGAGCTGTGCTGTGCAGCGTCTCGGTTCTGTCTGGGCGCTCCTCTTGTGTTTGCCTCCTCCTGACTAGTAGAGAACCTCGGCGCAGGGTCTGTTTCAGTCCTTGGTTGGGCCTCCAACAGCCTTCACGCTTTTTGGCTCTGGGCTGCCACTGCAGCCCAGACTCTGATACCCCGCCGCCAAGCTGCGTGCCTGTCCAGCCTGTCCAGCCTGTCTGGGGGCCAAGAGCAATCTGAGAAGGGCGGTGGCCACAGCTGGGGAGAGGTGACAGCAGGGGCAGGCTCCCGACTGGTGAGACAGGAAAGCCGCCTGGTGCCCCGCGGTGCCTTCTCGAGGTCACGAGCTGTGAGGGGAGGAGGCTGGCCCTTCCGGGTCAGGGAGTCCCAAAGCCAAGCAGAACAGAGCGAGCGGGGAGGCCACCGCAGGGAGCTCCCCTGGCCGTGCACAGCGAGTGTCTGGGGACGGGGCTTCCCAGGGCGCGCAGGAGTGTGTCAGGGCTGGTGCTTTACGGAACCACCGCAGGGAGCCTGTTTCCGTGTCGGGCAGAGCTGCCAGCTGGACGTGAAGAGCCGTTCGTGTCGTGCTCTTCGCTCTGACTTGCGGTGCTCTTCCACCGCCCCCATGTCTGCTTCCTTGTTCCTCAGCCTCGCGGACACCCCAGAATTGCCTGGGACTGACGCGGCTGGTGCCAGACGCCCGGAGAGCAACGGTGCTGGAGCCTCGACGCAGAGCCGCCCAGCAGCTGCACCAGGTTCTGTGGGGGCCGGGGCACCGGGGCCCAGGCACGGAGCTGTGGGGACGTGCAGCTCCCAGCCAGAGACCCTTCCCTGCTCTTACTCAAGGGGTCCTGAGCGGGACGTGCCGACAGTGCTGTCGACATCCTCGTGGCGCGCTCGTGAACGGTGTCGACATCCTCGTGGCGCGCTCGTGAACGGTGTCGGCTGGCCGGCACGCGGCGCTGCGAGTTGTGCTCTCCCGCCGCCCGCGCTCAGCGACTCCAGCCTCGTCGCTGTGTCTGTTGGAAGCGGTCTTGCAGCGTTTGGTACAGCTGATTTCAGCGGTCCCCAAAGGATCCAGCCTTTTGTATTCTGGGAGAAAAAACTGCTGTGGTCTAGGGGTGCTTTGTGGAACGGCGTGAGAAATGAGGCCTTCCTGTAGGAGGGAGCTTTGGAGGGCTGCGTGGGGGCGGCCGGCCCGTGGGGATGACCCTCACAGCCCCCCGTGCCCGGGAAGGTCTTGGCCACAAGCAGCCTCCAGGGACCGCGCGCCCAGCGGGAGGAACGCTGAACCTGAAGAAACGAGATCAGACTCAGAGCCACAAATTGGCCAGAACTTTCTCCCGCCGTTGTGTCCGTGAGACCGTTCTGGATCAGCCTCTACCAGCAGCTTCAGGTTCCTTGCTTCAATCATCGTATTTCTATGACCTGTATTTTTTACATTTCTTTTTCCTACTCGGGAGTTTTCAGTACATTCCACTTCTCAGTCAATCACAGCTAATTAGGGGGCGGCGCTCCATGGTTATCAGAAAGCAGCGTTTCTTAGAACCCCGAGTGCAAGGGCTGCGTCAGTTCCCTGCCACTGCACCCCGGAACGAAGCTGCAAACCGCCCTGAATCTGCTCTGCATTTTCTTGAGTCTCTCTGAAGACACATGCCTGAGGGCCTCGCTCCCGGGCTGGGCCTGTTGCAGTCACTGCTGTGGGGTGGGCTGGCGGGGACTGATGGCCCCTGACTGACCCGCGTCCCCTGCGGCTCTGCACGCTGTCTAGCACTGGTCATGTTTCGCAGGCTGGACTCGGCTTCCTTGTGAGAGCGGTGCTGTCGCCTCCACTTCCGTTAGAAGTTACTAGCAGTCATGTTGTCTGAGCACCAGTGCGCCTGGTCACAGACACGCGCATATTTACTGAATACGTTTTTTATTTTAATTTTTTGCTTTTGAAGCGTGGAGATAATTTTTCTTGCTTGCATTAAAATTGTTTTCTACCCTAATATTTAAATGGGCAAACTGTTTGTTTTCTGAATTCGGCGCTATCACCGTCTCTCCGTTCCTCCTGCAGTCCGTAGATGGGCCCCTGGCTCCTGCGTGCTGTGCCTGGGCTGTGGTTGCACACATGCGCATCGGCTTCCTTGTTTCCAAGCACCCTTTTCTACCTCAAATGACGTCCCGATAGTCCTTCAGATTCCTCCACCAAGGTCACACATCCTGCTCTGAGCTACAGTCTGCCCAGTCACCACCAATGGGACTGTGTGTGGTCACTAACGCACCCGTTTTCCTGATGTGAAAACCTCCCACCTTCTTCCCTGGCCTCCCGCACCCAGGACCAAGACCCCACTCAGCTGGCCCTCCGTTCCCTCCTGGGACTCGCCACAGGCCTGCTGGCCCAGGAAATAGAACACCCAGTCAGACTGGAACAGACACGCTGTTTCCAGTCTTAGCGCACTGCAAACCAGTGCTCTAGACGGCCGGCGCCGGGGCCGTGGGCTTGGGACGTCGTTCTGTGCATTCAACAGAACGGAAAGCCTAAAAATAAAGTTCCTGAGAAGTAGCTCTGCTGCAGTCCAGCAGTACTTACACCACTGCTCCTGCGGCCCCGACAGCTGCACTGGTCAGTCTTCCAGGACGGGCGCTTCTCTCCCTAGGGACCCTCAGAATCTCCATAGACAATGCATATTGTGAAGAAATTAGGTGTGACTTGCTGAATGTTTTTATGCCAAAATAAACTGGTATTTTATTAACCAGAAATGTTTTATTTACTTGAAAGGCAGAGAGAGCCAGAGGGAGATGTTCCACCCAGTTTCACTCCCGAAATGTCCGCAACAGCTGGGGCTGGACCAGACCAAAGCCAGGAACCCAGAATTCAATCCAGGTCCCCACTGTGGGCAGGGGCCCAGTATATTTATTTGAGAGACTGACAAAGCTCCCACCCATGGCTTATTCTCCAGATGCCCTCAATGGCCAAGACGGGGCCAGGCTGAAAAGTCAAGTGTCCCATATTGGTGACAGGAACCCAATCAGTTGAGCCATCACCATTGCCTCCTAGGGTCTGTTTTAGCAGGAAGTTGGAGTCCAGAGCTGGAGCCAGGTTAGAAACCCAGGTTATCCAGTAAGGGATGTAGGCGAAGAGAAAGCTTCCATCTGCTAGTTTACTCCCCAAATGGCCACAATGGCTGGAGCTGGGCTGATCCGAAGCCAGGAGTCAGGGGCTTCATCTGTGTCTCCCATGTGGTTGCAGAGGCTCAAGCACTTGGGCCATCTGCTGCTGCTCTCCCAGGCCATAGCAGAGAGCTGGATTGGAAGTGGAGCAGCCAGGACTCGAACCAGTGCCCACATGGGATGCCTGCACTGCAGGTGGCAGCTTTACCCGCTACGCCACAGCGCTGGTCCCAGGGATGCAGGCATGTTAAACTACTAGAGTAAACGTCTACCCCTAAAGTTAATTCTGTTTGTCCATAAACTTCTTGAAGTATCTGATATTTTCCACATGGAACGTTTGTAACCTTTAGAGGGGGAACCTCATGTGGTACAGAGTTGAGTTGCAGCGTGGCACACCCATTCTCTTACCAGTGCGGATTCAAGTCCCAGCCACTCTGCTTCTGATCCAGCTCCATGCTCAGGCATCCTGGGAGGCAGCACGTGATGGCTCAAGGGCTTGGGCCCCAGCCACCCAGGCAGAAGACCCAGATGGAGTATCTGGTTCCTGGCTTTGGCCTGGCCCAGCTCTGGGTGTTGTGGGCATTTGGGGCATGAACCAGTGGATGGAAGAGGCCTTCCTCTCTCCCTTGGACATCTGTGGTGACAGCAGTTCTGTAACCTGACTGTGGTCACAGGAACCCACGTGTGATGGGATGGCACGGAGCCGCACATGCACGCCTGTGACGTCGGTGCTCTGAGTAAGGCCTGCGTTTTACCAGGGCCGTGTCCTGACTGATGCTGCACTGCAGGCACCGGGGGACACAGGGAAGCGCACAGGGGCCGCTGTGCGATGATTTCAGAACACACAGTAGTTAGCACAGGGGAGCGTTCTTGAACCACAGAGCACCAACCACAATGGAAAGGACTGGTCAATTCGCCTTAAAAGCTCGTGTTCAACAGAGACCTGAGAGAAAACTTTGAGCCACAGCATGGGCAAGAGCGACCCTGGCCAGCGACACGGGACTGGTGTTCAGAGCACTTCTTAGGAATGATTTCTAAGGGGCTGGGTGGCGCAGCGGGTTAAGCCGCCACTCGGGACACCTACGTCCCTTATTGGATTGCCCATTCAACCCCTGGCTGCTCCACTTCCTATCCAGCTCCCTGCTAATGTGCCTGAGAAGGCAGTGGGAGATGACCCAAATGCTTGAGCTCCTGCCGCCCATGTGGAGACCTGGATGGAGTTCCTGGCTCCTGGCTTGAGCCTGGTCCAGTCCCCTGCTGTCACCAACAGTAAATGGAAGAGCTCATCACTGCTTGTCAAATAAGACAGAAACAAACAGAATCTAGTAGAAAACTGGGTGAACTCTCCAGCAGAAACGTCATGAAAGAGGGAATCTAAATGGTTAACAAACAGTGCAAGGCAGGCAATCATAGCGCTGATCAGAGACGTGCAAGTCAAGGCTGCAGTGTGGACGGCTGCAAACCCACCAGACCAGCCAGATAACAGGTTTCCTACAGCAGTGCTGATGCCGCGAATGGCAGGCACACCCTGCCGGCCTGCTGCCAAAGACCAAGTGGTGACTTCCACCGGCCTGGCTTCCACGGCCAGCTGTATACCCTGTGGAGGCTGGTCAGACAAGGACCCAGTCAGAATCCTCACAGAGCCAGGAATGAACTCAAATGCCCAGCACTAAAATGGGAGACAAGTCATTCAGTCAGTACTACACCTTGAAAATGAACTAGCTTAAAACTAAATAAAAACTATTTAAGTGAAAGAAAAATGACCCAGCTAGGGAGGGGCCTGCTGGCGCAGCGGGCTCAGCCGCTGCTTGCCAAGTGCTGGTTTGACTCCTGTCTGTTCCACTTCTAATCCAGCTCCCTGCTGATGCACCTGGGAAAGCAGTGAAGATGGCCCTAGTGCTTGGGCACTCATATATGAGACCTCGATGGAGTTCCTGGTTCCTGGCTTCAGCCTGGTCCAGCCCAGGCCTTTGTGGCCATTTGGGGAGTGAACCAGCAGATGGAAGATTCTCTCTCCCTCTCTCTCCCCACCACCACCTTTCAAGTAAATAAAATGATTCAATAAGAAAAAAAAAAAAACCCACCTACCTGGAGCTACACACGTTGACAGCTGAACCTCACAACGCAGCAGAGGTCTTGTTTTCAAACCCAGGCTGCTGGAGACGCGCCCAGAGGCTTGGCTGAGCTCAGCACATGGAAGGGGCCCGCGGGGACACGTGAGGGAAAGGCAGCGCTCGCTGTTTCGTGAGCTGGTACCAGTTACATGGGCGGCGGCTTCGTCATCGCAGGCATGTCTGACACCCTGCTGGATTTACAGCTCACCACGGGGATGGCCTGGGGTCTGGCCCTGCCGCCCACCCCTCGCAGCTGGGTGAGCACACTTGGAATGTTATCTGCAACACAAGCCTGGAGATGCGAGGGCGCTCAGAGCCGACTATTCCAGCCGAGAGAGGCGGCGCCCCCAGGACACCACCTCTGACCACACCTCTGCCTGCACACTCCTCTCAGTGGGGGGCAGGTCAGGCACAGGCCCTCACCGAGCCCAAGGCTTCCTCCCCCCAGGTTGGGAGGGACTCCCCCTAAGGGAGCCCTCCTGCTTCCGGTGGCAGGCACAGGGCTGCTGCCTCGGTGCAGGTCAGCGCGTGTGCTTGTGCCATCTGGGAGACCCTCCCACCACCCCCCCAACAGCTGCACTGGGCAACGCCCCACGCACAGATCACAGTGCTATGTCAGGGCTAAGTACCGGATATCCTCATTTGAAACAAATATTTGTGGCAAAAAGCAGCAACTGCCAGACACACACAGCAGGCCACCCAGGGTCTCTTCAGTGGGTGGAGGCCCCACAGCAAGCAGCACTTCCCTGTGGGCCCCGCCAGGCCGAGCCCAGCACTCTGTAGAGAGAACCACACACACCGTCTCTGCCCCAGACTTCCCGCTGTACCTCTGCCAAGGCCACAGCCATTCCTCGGCCTCTCCTGGTTCCAGGCCTGCCGTCTGCCGCACTGCTGCAGCTGTCTTCGTCCTGGATGCTCACCTGTGCCAGCAGAGCCCTGCGGTTAAGGGCACAGGCTCTGTGCTGATTCCTTCTCCCACTCCCTGGGCTCTGAGGGCTGAGCCTTGGTTCCTTCATCCGCAACATGAGGATACCTTCATGAGGTTGCTTTTCATGATTCACTGGGAAATATACCAAGGGCTTGGCCCAGAGGCTGAACACAGTCCTTCTGGTGTCAAGGAAGCGGGGAGGGGAGAAGGCCCCAAAGAGCGAGGGTCTGGGGAGGGGCAGGCAGCAGAAGGTGCTACGGGGAGGGCGGGCAGAGATGCCAGGTGCAGACTGCAAGGTCAGGTTAGGTGTCAGAACCTGTCTGTGAGGCATTCTGGGTGAGAGGAGGCCCACGGGACTCTGCCAGGGCCAGGTGACTGCTGATTCCTTGGGGCCCGCGGAGGGCTGAGTCCAAACAGGAAGTCACTGGGTCTTGGGAAGGGGAGGCACCTTGGGGAGAAGCTGTGCTTGGGGGACCAGCAGTTGGGGGATCTGGGCAGACAGCAGGTGGGGCTGCCGCGTGCAGGGCCTGCCTGTGGGAGTGTGAGGTGTGCAGGGTTTCCAGGCCCTGAACTGGCTCTGGAGAAGCCCCTGCTCCAGAGCCAGGCTGCTCTTGTGTTTGACTGCAGGTCTGGGGTCCTCCCACGCCGGCCGGAACCCCGGGGGAGCATGCTAAACCCTCCCCTGACTTCCCATTTAGCACCCAAGTCCCCTACCTCTCCCGAAACTGCTCCTGATGGTGGAGTCTGATGAACCCCGATGTGCCTGTGCCGTCAGTCCCCACGTGAACCTGCACAAATAAT